TGTCGTTCTTGAAAGCCGTCTTGGGGAGGTCGCCTTCCTTGATCCTCAACAGGTGGTACCCTGATCGCAAGTTGATCTTCGAAAATACTGATGCACCTTGTAGTTGATCAAATCGATCATCAATGTGAGGCAATGGGTATTTGTTTTTTATTATTACTTTATTCAATGCTAGGTAGTCAATGCACAATCTCAGGGTCTCATCTTTCTTCTTGACAAACAGTATTGGCCCCCCATGGCTACACACTTGGCCTGATAAAACCTCGATCTAATAGATCTTGCAACAACTCTTTAAGTTCTTTCAACTCGGCAGGAGCTATCATGTACAATGCCTTGAATATTGGGGTAGTACCTGGCTCCAGCTCAATTGCAAAGTCCCTGTCCCTGACTGGCGGTAACGCCGACAGCTCTTCTGGAAACACTGAGGTAGGTTGGGTGCCTTATCCCGGTAACACTATTGATACGGCTCACTTTGTAATCGTTACAAATGATTTGATCCAAATCATTCATGTAGAGACATGTAAGTGGGGAATTCCTATACAATGAGTTTGTATAAGACTGGACTAAGAAATATTTAATCTCTCTTTATAAATTCGTTAATTGAGAAGATTAATATTTCACATGATGATCATTTGCGACTTAATCTTAATCCTGAGTGAGTAATGAACTCCTGCTTATAAGGGGCTTGTCTTTTAATTTACATGGGTGAGAATTGCTCTTTTAGTCGATTCAATATGCCTACTATTTTGAGGACTAGACCAAATAGGGAGTTGGGAACATAATATCATAAAATGGAATTTACTTCTTTCTCTACAAGGAAAGTTGATGAGTTGTTCTCTTAAGTACTAATTTCGGGACTTGAACAATTGGGCCCCACCATCTCATTGGCCCGAGAGGGACTTGGTTTATGATTGGATTATAAACAAATTATTCATTAGAGAATCAGTGGTACTTAAGGTGAAAGATGTAATTACAGGGGTAAAACAGACTTTTAACCCAACTGTAATTATGAACAACTCGTGAAGGATCGACCTGCTTGTAATGGTTATATCAATAAACATAACTTGTCCTACAGTGTACAAGAGTGCAACTCTAGGCCGTGGAGTGACTTATTGAATGGAAATTGATTAATTAAAGAGTTTAATTAATTAATAAAGTTAAATTTATTTGAAACAAAATTTGAATGGCTCACATTGATATTTAATATATTATATATATTAAATATAAAGGAGAAAATAAATTTAATTTAAAATGTCAAATTAATATTTAATATATTAAATATATTAAATAAAGAGAGAAAATATATTTAATTTGAAGGGTTCTAATTAATATTTAATATATTAGATATGTTAAATATTAATGAAGAAAAATATATATTAATTTGAAAGTTCAAATTAATATTAAATATATTAGATATATTAAATAAAAAAAATATATTTATTGTATTGGATACAATTAAATATTAAATCAATTAATATATTTTGATACCTTAAATAAAAATATATTTGAAATTTGAATAAGATTTAAATGAGTTAACTATATATTAGGATATCTTATAATATCTAAATATGATTTGTATAAAGTATTACATGCTAATATATTAAATATGCAAATATATTTTTGATAAATATTCTCCAAGAGTCCTTATAAATAAAACCCTCGGGTTAAGCCAAAGATATACGATCTCTCCCACTTTCTTAGAGAATGAAATTACATCTCTAGGAAATTCTCGAAACTCTCTTCTCTAATCCCTTTGAGATTTTCTTTTAAGAGGCTCTCACAAGCCTTGACCTTGTATTCGAGTCATAGTAAAGAAGATTTTGTGGAATGTTGAAAAACTTCTGCATGGTTGGAATACTCCGAGGAGTCTTACCAGCAAGGGTTTCTACAAAGGTGGAGTTCTTACTCTCCTATTTATGCTTTGTTTTAATTCTTAATAAAAATCAAAATGGTTTCTAATGCTTCCGTTACGTGGATGAAGAGTTCATTCTCTTCAATTGGTATTAGATCCTATTGATTTTTATTTTGAATTAAAAGTAGTAGGGTGGATATTTGATTTCTCATATATGTGATATATGTAATATTGTTTTATAAAATTGATTGTTTTTGGCATATCAGTGTGGCATTAGATTTACTGATTTGTTAGACAAATGTATACTGTTAGGTTCATTGTAAATTGAAAAGAGACAGCGGCTGCGATGACAACGTTCATCCATTCGCTGTACAATTTAGGGTTTTTGAAACCGAGTTTTATTACATTTGGAATTGTTCCAAAAATTAAAAAAAAAAAAACATTTTTGAAATGGTTTTAAAAGGAAAATATGTATATTTGGAATGGTTCCAATAGGAAAAGTTATAGATTTGGAATTGTTTCCATCTAGAAATCTTAATATCATATTTTGAATGGTTCAAAAGCAAACCCTAATTTTATTATATATTAAATAGTTACCCTTAACGATCTCAAACTCTAATTTTATTACATTTGGAATGATTCGAGAAAGATCCTAAAATCTAATTTTATTAAATTTGAAATAGTTCAAAAAGGAAAAGATCTTCAAGATCTGGATTTAAATTACGATCAATTTTGATTTGTTTTAAATTTAATTGTGCATATGATAATGTATGTTTTTTATTTAATTGATTGAAGGCATAAAGTATGTCATTTAAGTTAAAATCCTACCCTAGCATAATCATGCATTTTAATTATTTTTTTTTAATATAAATGTTATATTTGAAAATTTTTTGTTAGTTGTTTCTCGATTCCATAATTAGAAAATAGATTGAAAAATTAAATTAGGATATATATTTCTTAAATTGAATGCATGATATTTACCTAATAAATTAGGGTATATTTTAATATGATTAGAATTTTTTTAAAGGGGTTTAAAATGCGAGAATTTTAAAATTATTCAATAACTGAATTAATTTTTAATAGGATTAAAAACCGTTTAATTCAAATATATTCATTAATCTAGTAATGAATAGTTAATTAAAGATTAATGAATGATAAATAAAAATTGATTGGAATTCTGTCTAAGGAAGGTTCCGTCTAAGGAATGACCTAGGAGTTGAATTAATGATTAGTTTTTTTAAGCCATTCACATTAAAAGCAATCCCACCCACATAAGGGTTATGAAAAGGTAGATTAGAAATTTAGATAAATGAGATTAGCCTAATTTGTCTGAGTAATAGAAGACCCAATTTCAAAATACTTAGTGGGAGAAGGACGTTTGTCAATATAAAGATATTAAGAACACATGTCAGGATATCCTATGTTCTCTATTATTGATTCACACCGTGAGATCCATGCGGGCCTCGTGGCGGCTTTTGGACTGTCCCCCTACGGAAGATGTTTGCATGAGTCAATATTAAGGTGAATCTTGAAAAAGTATTTATAGTAAATGGGAGAAGAAAATGTGTCAACATATCCTATGGTCTCTATCATTAGTTCATCATAACGTGAGATCTATGTAAGGCCTCGTGGCGCCTTTTGGACCCTCCCCTTACGGAAGGTGTTTGCATGGGTCAATATCAAGGTGAACTCTTGAGAAGGATAAGATAGTAATTTTATTTCCAATACTTGACCTACCCTATGGCGGCACTTGTTGGGATAAAACTACAAGATCTAAAATGATGGTTACATTTATAAAGAAATCATTAAGATTGTTAATGATGTTCTTGACCGAACTAATGGTAACTAAATAGTATAGGAATAAGAGTTATTTTAGTATAATATTTGGTTGAGATTGTCTCAGTTTAGTGAGGAACACTTGACTTACTCTACGGTGGCACTTATTCTAAATCACTAAAGTATCATAACATTAGAAATGATTTATAGAGTTCATTTTATAAAATTGTTTGTTTTATATGCTCAAATTGAATGGATAGTTGATTGTTTGTAATTAAATAATATTTTATATATTTCAAATATTATGTTCAAATTCTTTCGATTGAACTCAATTTTTATTACTGATAAATCAGATTGAGAAAATTTTAATACTTGGAAAAATAATATGAGCACTATGGTAATATATATATATATATATATATTACCATAGTGCTCATATTATTTTTCCAACAAAAATATATATATATATTTTTGTTGTCTTTATTGATAAATGTTCTCAAGACTTATTGTCAATTTGAATCGAATTATTCAAAGAGCATATGATTGGTGATCAAAGGTGATGAGAAAGCTTTGTTCATGTCTTCTAGTTGACATGTTGGATGTCATGACTAAAAGATAAGAAAATGACAAGAACATGTGAGATGTTTAAGTCAATAAAAGCTAAATTTAGATAGTTATCTAAATGATCTCAAATTAAGTATTATTACAAAAATGGAAGAAAAGTCTTATGACTAAAGCTATGATAGGAAATAGTTTCTAATTAACTAGGACAGTCATAGTGAGAGAAATTTTCGAAATTACTCTATGGAAAAAAAAAATCTAAATCACAGTAAATTTGATTTACTAGACTTTTGGTAGAGACTAAGTGACACCACCTGAATAGTTGATATAAGATGTGCTATTACTAGACTTTTAATGAGGAAGAATGGATTCTACTAGTTGACACGAGGAAATCATTTAGTGGGAGACATTAAGATGTTAAGTAAAAATTGTTACTAAATGTTGAACATGGTGTTTTAGTAACTCGGAGAGAACTTCAATTTCTCAAACTTTATTATTAGGTAGTTCATATAAGTGTTGGAGTTAATTACTTTACATGTCTATAGATCTCGCTTTTCATGCAAGATAATCATTGGGCTTTCATTGAATAAGGCTACAAGACCAAAGAGAGTTTTGGGTTTATGCATTTTGATCGAAGTGGTATGATGAATGCAAAAGCCAAAGAATATTGCTAATATTTTATCAATGTGGTTGATGATTATTCAATATATAAGTATTCTTACCAAAATGTAAATTTTTTTTTTTTTTTTTTTGAAAAGTTCAATCTATTTTGATAAATCTATTAAGACATTATGATCATATCATAATGAATAGTACGAGAACATTATGTACTAAAATTAATTGATAGAAAGTGGAATTGATTTCCAACTCTAAACATAATACAATTTTGTAAAATTGTGAGGTGTAAGAGGAGAAAACAAGACTATATTAGATATATTCACGTAGTCATTACCAAGGCTACTGAGAAAAACAAAATAGTCTTTTATTTAATTTTAAATAGAAAAACATATTTGCAGGACCAATATAATTTTGTAAAGAAGTTCAAATAGGACATACACCTTTGTTAAGGTGAGATAGTGTTAATTAAATAGTTCCAAGTGAAGGAGCTAATATTTAACAAAAGTTGTTAACCATTTAATTTCACTGAGATCAAGTAGATCCTGGTCATTAATTGAATAAGTCGAAGAATTATGAGATGATTCAAAATTTTCATGTTAGATGACCAATTTTAAGGCTTATTACCCAATAGTTATGAGGGATGATGACAAAGGATAAATAAGTTAAAGTCATAAAATTTCGGGATTTGTAGATATTCTTGATGAAGTTAAACTCATAGGATATGAATGGATGTACAAAAGGAAAATTATGTACAGATAAGAAGATATAGATCTTCAAAACATGACTCATAACAAAGAGTTGAACTTAATGGGAAAAAGTAGGTTTCTCTCCCGTTAACATTTAGAGTCTATTATTATTCTCTAATTCATTTTTATATGAGGTATGTTAAATGAATATTTAGAATTTTTTGTGTGAAAAGAAATCTAAGAGAATGCATCCACACATATTATTATATGGATTTATTATTAAAGATAAAAGCCAAGTTTTGCTAAAAAGAATAAAATTCATTTTTGAAATGAATTTAATCTATAGATTTTTGAATAAATTGTAATGAGCGGATTTTTTTTTATTATTATTATTATTATGTTGGTGACATATTACTACTTATGAATGATATAATCTTTCAATCAAATATAAATGAATGACTACCTAACCAATTTCAAATAAATGATTTGGGATAATTGTGTATATCCTAAAAATAAAGATTAAAGAATAAACGTTAATATTGTCTCATATATATTATATTGACAAAATTGTTGTCAAATATTTGATGCAAGACTAATGATAATGATTATTGAAATATGAAGTCAGAGGAATAGGATCTTAAGTAACCTCAAATGTTAGAGAGTATGATTAATTATCTTTCCCAAGTGGGAGACAGTTAATGTGAAGATGGGAATTAAAGTTAAATATACCATTATAGTTAGATTATATTAGTTAAACTAATGGTACGACCATTAAGTGAAAAATTAAAGTTTTTTCAGAGTATCGATGGATAATGAGAATTTTTTATTTTAGGTATGGAATTAAAGATTTGATATTTAAGCCATAAACTAGTTACATAAATTTAGTAAAATTTATGTTAAGATCAATTAGATTGTGAAGTATGGTATACAAGTAGAATATTTTTTTGCTTTTAAAGTAACAAATGACTGGTATGATTATAATAATTTCTTAAACATTTGAAAGTTGTTTTAGATGTGATTTAGTTTGTCACTTTCATTGTGATGATAGTGATACAAAGACTAATATTAAGGTAATTGTAAAAGATCAATCTATCAAGAATGATATTGAGAGAAAGCATCGTGGTAGTGACCAAGGTGACTTTTAATGATAATTATTTTGATTTATATAAAATGACTCTCTAGGCTAAAGTGTTTGAGGGTCATCTAGAATGTCTAGGATTACGAGATATGTTTCATATTCTCTAGGGCAAGTGGGAGAACATGTTGGGTATAAAGTATGCCTGAGGACACATGTCTCACTAGCTTTAGTGCAAGTGGGAGATTGTTGGGATTTATGTCATAAAGTCTCGTAATTAATTATTTAGTTTTTAACAATAATTTATATTATTTTATTTGTAATTTAATTGTTATCCATGCTATGAAAATCCAAGGTTATTAATGTAATCTTAAACAGTATGTGGTTGACATACAAGAGGATCGTGTTCAAGTAATAACCTAAAGAGTCTATAGTATATGGATAAGGTTTGGTGCCTTATCGTGATAACACTATTGATACGACCTACTTTGTAATCGTTACAAATGATTTGATCCAAATCATTCATGTGGAGACATGTAAGTGGGGGTATCATATACAATGAGTTTATATAAGACTGGACCAAGAAATATTTAATCTCTCTTCATAAATTCGTTAATTGAGAAGATTAATATTTCACATGATAATCATATGCGACTCGATCTTAATCTTGAGTGAGTTATGAACTCCTGCCTGTGAGGGTTTGTCCTTTAATTTACATGGGTGAGAATGACTCTTTTAGACCATTCAATATGCATGTGGACTTGACCAAATAGTGAGTTGGGAACATAGTATCATCGGATGGAATTCACTCATTTCCATATAAGGAAAGTAGATGAGTTGTTCTCTTAAGTATTGATTTTGAGACTTGAACAAATGGGCCCCACCCTCTAATTGGTCCTAGGGGGACTTGGTTTATGATTGGATCATAGACAAATTGTTCATTAGGGAATCAATGACACTTAAGGTGAAATATGTAATTACAGGGGTAAAACGGACTTTTGACCCAGCTGTGATTATGAACAATTTGTGAAGGATCGACTTGTTTGTAATAGTTACATCAATGAACATAACTTGTTCTACAGTGCATAAGAGTGCAACTCTAAGTTTATAGTGGAGTGACTTATAAGCTCTAATCTGTAGGTTCATAAGGTCCCTTGCTAGCTCATAGTAATGCAAAAAGGTTCAAATTATTTGAAAGATATTTAGTATATTATATATATTAAGTATAAAGAGAAAATAAATTTAATTTGAAATATCAAATTAATATTTAATATATTAGATATATATATTAATTTGAAAGGTTATATTAATACTTAATATATTAGATATATTAAATAAAAAATATATTTATTAATATCCCATCCGGGATTTTCTTTTAAGAGGCTCCCACAAAGTCAAGAGTGTCATAGTAAGGAAGATCTTGTGGAATGTTGAAGAACTTCTATATGATTGGAATATTCCGAAAAGTCTTGCAAGTTAGGGTTTCTACCAAAGTAAAATTCGTATTCTCGTATTTATTGTTTTATTTTAATTCTTAATAAAAATCAAAACAATAAATTTCGCAAAAAAACTCATAAATATATCACATGTATTATTTGAAATAAAATATCCACCATGCACTTTTTAATTAAATACAAATTAATTTGGCTCTAATATCAATGGAAAGGAATGAACTTTTCATCCACGTAATTAAAACAAAGCAATAAATAGGAGAGTAAAAACTCTACCTTTGTAGAACTGTAGCTTGCAAGACTACTCGGAGTATTCCAACCATGTAGAAGTTTTTCAACATTCCTCGAGATTTTTCTTGCTATGACTTTAACACAAGCTCAAGCTTGTGGGGGTCTCTCGAAAGAAAATCTCAAAGGGATTGGAGAAGAGAGTTTCAAAAATTCTCTGGAAATGTAATTTCATTCTCCAAAGAAAGTGGGAAAGATAGTATATCTTTGACTCAACTCGAGGGTTTTATTTATAGGAACTCTTGAAGAATATTTGTCAAATAATATATTTGCATATTTAATATATTAAGATATACCTTACCAAAATCATATTTAGATATTATAAAATATCCTAATATATATTTAACTAATTTGAATCTTATTCAAATTTCAAATATATTTTTATTTAACGTATTAAAATACATTAATTGATTTAATATTTAATTGTATTAAATACAATAAATATATTTTTTATTTAACATATCTAATATATTAAATATTAATATATGAACCTTTCAAATTAATATATATTATTCTCCATTTATATTTAACATATTTGATATATTAGATATTAATCTCAACCCTTCCAATTAAATATATTTTCTCTCTTTATTTAATATATCTAATATATTAAATATTAATTTGATATTTCAAATTAAATTTATTTTCTCTTTATACTTAATATATTTAATATACTAAATATCAATGTGAACCATTCTAATTTTCTTTCAAATAAATTGAACCTTTTAGCGTTACTATGAGCTACCAAGGGAACCTTATGGACCTACCGATTATAAGCTCCAATGATACAAAATTAATGAATTAAACTCTCTAATTAATCAATTTCTATTCATTAACTATAAGTCACACCACTATAGACCTTGAGTTGCACTCTTATGCACTGTCATAATTAGAAGCAAGTCGATCCTTCACGAGTTGTTCATAATTACAGCTAAGTCAAAAGTTCGTTTTACCCCTGTAATTACATCTTTCACCTTAAGTACCACTGATTCTCTAATGAACCATTTGTCTGTGATCCAATCATAAACCAAGTCCCTCTCGAGCCAATGAGAGGATGGGGCCCCATTGTTCAAGTCCCGAAATCATTACTTAAGAAAACATCTCATCTACTTTCCTTATATGGAAAGGAGTGAATTTCATCTTATTATACTATGTTTCCAACTCCCTATTTGGTCAAGTCCCCAAAATAGTAGGCATATTGAATGGTTTAAAAAGTCATTCTCACCCATGTAAATTAAAGAAAAAGCCCTCATAGACAGGAATTCATAACTCACTCAGGATATGATCATCATGTGAAATATTAATCTTCTCAATTAACGGATTTATAAAGAGAGACTAAATATTTCTTGGTCCAGTCATATACAAACTCATTGTATAGGATACCCCCACTTACATGTCTCCACATGAATGATTTGGATCAAATCATTTGTAACGATTACAAAGTGGGTCATATCAATAGTGTTACCAGGATAAGGCACCCAATCTTATCCATATATTATAGACTCTTTAGGTTATTACTTGAACACGATCCTCTTCTATGTCAACCACATACTGTTCAAGATTACATTAATAATCTTGGATTTTCCTACCATGGATAACAATTAAATTACAAATAAAATAATATAAATTATTGTTAAAAACTAAATAATTAATTACGAGGCTTTAGGACATAAATCCCAACAATTAAAAGAAGAACATGACTCTCCACAATAGTAGATATTGTCCACTTTAAGCATAAACTCTCATGGTTTTGCTTTGGGCTTCCCCAAAAGGCCTCATATCAATGGAGATAGTATTCCTCACTTATAAACTCATGATCATTCCCTAAATTAGTCAACGTGGAACTCACTCCCAATAATCCTCAACACCCCAAACTCCTCGACCAACTAACTTTCTTGCTTTTAGAGTAGAGATAATCCTTGGGGTGTTTTGAGAATTCACCCCTTTAAACTTAAAGTTTTGTCCGTTAGGTGGCCTAAAAATTACCTCTCTAGCCCTGCAATCGATAATTGCGTGGTTCTTGGCCAGCCAGTCTATGCCAAGGATCACGTCAAAATTACTCATGTCAAGAACAATTAACACTACCTCCAAAGGTCGTCTTGCTATTACTATTGACTTGCTCACACTCTCTCATTAGTTACTAAAATTTTCCTAGATGGCGTAGACACCGACAATCGGTATCTTAAGAGTTCTAGTCCTAACCGTGCGTACCTTACAAAGGTACTAGATATGAATGAGTGTGTGGACCTAGAGTCAAACAATACAAAAGCATGAAAGCCAAGTACTAGTAAGGTACCTGTCACCACGGTGTCCATGTTATTTGCTCCTTTCTCGGTAGTTGCCCTAGCAGTACCACGGTTCTGCGCCATACCCCCTCTGCCTCCTTAGCCTGACACAGACGCTCTATTCTCCTCTTGACGCCTCCTATGAGGGAAATCAACTTTCTTATGGTCGCTCTTACTGCAATGAAAATATGCATCAGAACTTGCCTTGGACTCCCTGTTTGTCTAGTGCCACAAATGGGGCAAGTGGACCTCTCAAGTCTAGGGGCCTCATTTCTAATGCCCCGCTACCTCTCTGTTGGAGGTGGCCTATGTGATTTCCCTCTGTTCTCGAGTCGTGACGCCCTGTTAAGATGCTCACTCCATTCTCACTTACCCTAGAGATTCCTTTGATTCCCATCCTCCTGAGCATTTTTTGGAGTTGAACGTTCATCATGGTAGCAACATTTAAGGCAGCGGCATATGTAGTAGGTGTTACTGTCCCCACAGTTCCTTGGATTTCCTCTCAAAGACATGCAATAAATCTTCGTATTTGTTTTTCCTCCGTATCAACCTGATCTGGTACAAACGGGATAATCAGGTCAGTTCTCTGTCATAGTCCTCGACCGTCTTATTTCCTTGCATCAGGTTAAGGAAGGCGACCTCATTCCTATACTAACTCACTTTTGTGTAATACTTGTGGAAAAATGCTCTCTTCATTTCACGCCAACATATTGGCTCTTCATTCTCGTCTCCCCTTAACATTCTTTAAGCACCCTTCCACCAAAAGTAGACCTCACCCCTGAGCACGTAAAAGGCACAATTTATTTTCTAATCCTTAGGAAAATTCATATGCCTGAATAGGGTCTCAATCACTTCTACCCATGTTTTCATCGTCATTAGATCACTTTCCTCTCTTTCGAAGGTCGGAGGGTCATGCTTTCGAAAATTCCTAATGAATTTCTGTTCCCTTGTCATGCTAGCACTATCCCCCCCTTGGTTGGCTCCAGCGGCTAGTATAAGTGCTTGGAGAGTCTCGTTAGAAACCAATACTAGATCTAAAGGTAGGGATCTTGTCTGCCCCTATATCTGTACTGACGGCGCTTGCACGCTCTCAAGCGCCTGATCCGGCGGTGCCTGTTCTGGGGCTGAATCTTGAGCAAGCTCAAACTCCTTTGGAGCCCTGGTGGATCTCCTACCCCTCATTCTTTTTCTAATTCTAGGTACCATAGTATCTACATTGTTCCACAAGTAGGTTACTGGATGTCCAAATCAAACTTTAACCATAATAGTTTATGGTTCACGTCACACCATGAAAAGTTAAACCATAATACGATTACAGCTATTACTACCGCTTGTAACTTACTTCCTTGGTTACCTGGTCAAGGAGGAACGTGGCTACGAGTGGAGCTGCAGAGAGCCCAACTGAAATTCTAGTTAAGAAAAGTCTACAAGACTTAACAACCTAGTGCTCTGATACCAAAACTGTAACAATCGATCTTCGACGCATAGAATCACTGGTCGGCACGTGGACTCAAGAGTAAAAACCTTTCAACACTTCTTGTTGTTTGAATAGGGACTAAAAGTTAAAAGTTGTCTGATATACATTTCAAAATATCAAAATTACTACAAAACACATAACGAGAACCCGCGGAGTCACATCAAAAGGAAATAGTTGCAAAATATCGCGTGTTTTTCCAAAAACATCAAAATCATAACCAAAACGACATGGGAGAAGAGGACTCAATCTAAGGGCCCCTTCTATAGCTGCATGCCTCCACACGTTCCCGCCACCGATCTAGATCTACTTTTCACCTGAAAAATAGAAATAACACAGAATGAGTATATACAAATACTCAGTAAGCAACCTGCTCGTAAGCTCTTGTCGATCTTAGCCCTATTCACGAGATCTCGTAAGCTTTGTGCTCGAATAGTCGCTAGTCAGAGACCTAGTGGTGCCTGGCAACGTCTAATTGTTCCTAAGATCAGTAACTACCTGCCACTATGTCTCGCTAGGCCGGGTCAGTAACTACCTGTCTTATGCCCTTGTAGGTTTAGAACAGTAAAACTACTTGTCTTAGGAAAAGTAACTATCTGTCACTATGCCGCTTGGCTGGATCAGTAAATAGGCCATGACTCGTCTCACTATTCACCTCTAACGGGTTAGCATAGTAATATACTATGATTACCCTCAACCCCTTGTGGGTGACTACCAAAACGATACACTGTCGTCTATGTAATTCATAACTTATGATAACTAGCACATAATAAATCGTCCAACTCACAAAGGGCAACAATGGCTACCCAAGCTCCACACCCAATGCCTAACAAAGAGTCACGACAACAACACGTCACCATGCTAAATCACGTAATAACCATCTAGTTCAACATAAAACATATCATTCCATGCGCCTATCAGAAATTTCACATTCATGCCAACGAAACTATCGAAGTACCACCTCCATGAACTAAATTTATCCATCCCTAAATACGATACTAAATTATTTGCCCATAAACCAAAACTGACGCCTACAAGCAATTACATAGAAACTTGCTTCAGATGGTTACTTACCTGATCGTAGACTTCCCGAAACTTTATTGAATCTTCAAGTGTCCACTTGACTAAGCTAATTGAGAATTTTCCTATAAATAAGGCATTATGGAATGTGCGAGTCAAATACCTAAATCTGAATAAAAACGAATCAAATGGTGTGAAATGAAAAGAAAAATTTGGGTTTCGGTTCTGTACAGGTGAGTTGGGTGGGGTCGGTCCAACGAGTTGGGTCAGGCTACGCCCCACGATTTTCGCCCTCTTCTTCCCACCTTCTTCCTAATCTTTCTTTCCTCTCAGCACCCCATGACTTCTTCTTCACGAGGACTCATCAACTTCCCTCGACCATAACCTATGTACACCGACCTAGTGAAACGTATTAGGGTTTTTGGAAAAGGAGCAACGAAAATCACACCACTAGGGCTTACTGTCAGCATTCTCCCTTCTTGAACCGTTCAACCCTAACGTTGCCGACAAGGCTTCAAGCTTCATCGTAACGTCCTCACAAGGGGGAATGTCGAGCAGGAACTAATGTATGCTACAGATGTGGCCAAACGGGGCACTTTTTGGTGAATTGTCCTCATAAAGGAGATCAAGAAACTAACCGACATGCAGCACAGAGTCAAAGAACTCGGGGTGCTCTGCAGCAGTAAGAGTGAGCAGTAGTTCATGCAACAACAGCCAGGCAAACCAACAACCTTGATGCAGATGTTATAGGTACACTAACCATCTTTGGTCATCTTGCCTTGATGTTATTTGATTCAGGTTCTACACATGCTTTCATATCTAAGGAATTTGTAGAGCTAGCACACCTAGAAAAGGAACCTTAGAGATCACCTTGTCAGTATCCACCTCTACTCACGAGCTATAGATGGCTACTCATAGGGTTAAGGGAGATAGTATATTAGTGTCAAGAAGTGTCATAGAAGCCACACTGATAGTGTTAAGCATGCAAAAATTTGATATCATCTTAGGTATGAATTGGCTAAGCGAGAATTGTGCTCTGATTTTTTAGACTCAAAAAGTGACTCTAAGACTCCTGTCAGGGGGTAGTTTTATGTAGTGGTGCAAGCGCATTTTTAGCGAGTGTGACCCTGGACAACATCAACTAGCAGACAGTACAGTTCGTAGATATTTTTCCAGAGGATTTGCCAAGTTTGCCCCCAGCTAGGGAATTTGACTTCGGGGGCAACAGTTTTCTCCAAAATTGACTTGAGGCCAAGGTATCATTAGATGAGGATCAAAAAAGAGAATATACTTGAGACGACCTTTAGAAGTTGCTATGGACATTACGAGTTTCTTGTTATGTCTTTTGACCTTAACAATGCATCAAGCGTCATCACGGAACTAATGAATAAGGTGTTTAAGGAATTCTTAGACACCTTTGTAATAGTATTTATTACGATATTTTGGTTTACTCTAAGTCAGAGGTAGAGGACGAGGAGTAGGGGGTACACCCAACCCGGAAACCCAAGAACCCAACCCGACCCAACCCGAAATATAAGGGTTAGGTTGGGTTGTGTTAAATTTCGGATTTGGGTTGGGACCATTTTTTTTAACCCGATCTGATTTGGGTTGGGTTTGGGTTTCAAAAGAAAATGATTGGGTCAACCCGACCCAACCCGAAAATATTGAAAAAAAAAAGAAATTGAAGCCTAAGGGCCCAAAGTCAAAGCCCAATAACCCATTGCTAATGTCTTATCTTGTCTCTAACCACGACACTTTTTACCAAAGCCCAATAATTACTTAAATGGTGTAAACAAATTTAAAATAACAATTCTCCCTCGGCTTCAATTACTTAAATGGGACAAAAAGCCTCATTTCTTAGTCAACCAAACATTTCTCTCTCTCATCCTCATGCTCAGTCCAGCGATCTCTCTCTCTTTCTCTCTTCTTTTTGTACCCTAAAAAATAGCTAACTTTTTACCTCTTATATTCATAATAATTTCTGTAAGCATTCACTATAGATTTCTAGTTCACTACGATGAACTTTTGATACAATATATAAAAGGATATTAACGGCTCTTCAGCCCTTATATCATTCTCCATGACATATTTCTAACTTCACTTTTGTATTGCTTTTTTCTATTGTAGTATGGGTTGAGTATATCCTTTGCTTTTCTACTTTCGAGATAGGTTTCTTGTCTTACTCTCTCAGCCTCTTCTCTCATAGCCTCACTGCCTTTTTATCTCTTTCAGCCTCTTCTCTCTCAGCCTCCGGCCAAAATACAAACCTTCAGCCAAAATACAAATCTCTCTCTCAACATTTAGTCTCTCACAAGAAATTTGATCTCAATAGCATTCTCTCGCATTCTTTGTCTTGTTTCTCTCTTGCACGCGGTCTTTCTTTCTTTAGTCTCTTGGAACGCCATAACGGGTAAACTTTTTCTCTTTTTGTTATATTCCTTTGCAAAGATTTATTGTATATTTTATCTTTGATGCATCCTATGGTAATTGTTCAAATTAGGTTGAATGTTTAAATCATAATAGTTCTAGTTTACTTTCTATAGATGGAAAACAATAGTGCAACTGGATGTGCAAGTAGCTCTAGCAATTATAATACATCGAAGCCATCATTGGCTGCACAATCTGAATTTTAGAAGGAGAAACTTAGTAAATCAACCGTGTGAGATAATTTTACAAGATTAGAGAACAATAATAAAAGGTGCAAGTGCAACAATTGTTCTAAGGAGTATGCTTGTGATACTAATTCTTGTGGAACTAACACGTTATGGAAGCACTTAAAGATCAGTGTAAAAAGTACGCATATAAGGTGAAGGACAAAGGACAAACCACTATAAGTTTTCAACCTTCAATAGATGGAAAGGGTGGTAGTATATTGTTACTTCGTTATTTAGTCAAACAAGATGTAGAGCAACATGTGCCAAGATGATAATTATAGATGAGTTGTCATTTAAATTTGTAGAGAATGAGGGTTTCAAATGGTTTTGTAGTATTACATGTCCTAAGTTTGACCCTCCGTTAAGAGTAACCATTGCTAGAGATATATTTCAGCTCTATCTAGAAGAAAAATAGTTTAAGATTTTTTAGTTAGTCATTCCAAGAGGGTTTGTCTTACCACTGACACATGGACTTCGTTGCAAAATATTAAAAACATGGTAATCACCACACATTTTATTGATTAAGAATGAAATTTGCATAAAAGAATTCTCAACTTTTGTCAAGTTGCTAACCACAAGGGAGAGACTATTGGGAAGATTATTGAAAGTTGTTTATTGGAATGGAGGATCGAAAAGGTTTTCTTTGTCACAGTTGATAATGCAAGTTCCAATGATATTGTTATTTCATATATTATGAGAAGGCTTAGAAGTTGGAATTCACTTGTCTTAGATGGAGAAATATACACATGAGGTGTTGTGCTCACATAATTAACTTGATTGTGAATGAAGGGCTTAAAGAAATGCATGACTCCATTTCTAGTGTTCGCAATGTCGTGAGGTATGTTAGATTATCCCCTAAGAGATTGACAAAATTTAAAGATCTTGTTGAACAAGAAAAAATTAAATGTAAAACACTTATTTGTTTGGATGTGGCGACTCGATGAAATTCCACTTATTTGATGCTTGATCATGCCTTGAAATTTGAAAAAACTTCCAAAGTATTAGAGGAAAGGAATTAGATTATGTTGATTACTTCAAAGATGGGATCATGGAAACAAAAGAATAGAGCCACCAACCATTGATGATTGGAAAAACGTTGCAGTGTTTCTAAAGTTTTTTAAGGTTTTCTATGATGTCACTACGAAGATAAGTGGTTTTTTATATGTGACTAATTCTTATTTTCATGCACTTTAGGGTATTCGAGAACTCTTTTCATTCAGTGGAATACAAATGTGAACTCTGTTTCAAGTAACATGAGTTCAAATATGAAAGTTAAGTATGACAAATATTGGGGCTCAATGGAAAGAATTAATAAGTTGATTTTCATAGCAGTGGTACTCGATCCTCGTTACAAATTGGATTACATATCATTTTGTTTTTCGAATATTTTATGAAGATGCTATGGCTAAAGTGATGGTAGATGGCATAAAGAATTATTTAATTCATTTGTATGATTACCACAAGTTTTATGATAATGCTCAAGATCATCATCAATCTGAATCAAGACTCACTTATAAGTCCATGAGTATGGAGATGGACACAATTGATGAAGTGAATTTGAATAGTTCAATATTAGTATTATCAAGATACAAAAGAAGAAGAGAAGAGCAAAATTCACTCGAGTTAAAGAATGATGTGGATCGATATTTATTTCACCCTAGTGAAGAACTTGATGATAATTTTGATGTTTTGGCATGGTGGAAAGCAAATGAGTTTAAATGTAGAGTTTTATCGAAAATTGCCCAAGATGTTTTGGTCGTTCCAGTGTCAGACTGTATATTTAGTACATATTTAGTACAGGTGGGAGAATTCTTGATTCTTTTAGGAGTTCTTTGACACCTAAAAAAGTGGAAGCTATTATATATACACAAAATTGGATTGGTAGAAAATCAGTATCGATAGATATCCCTCAACAGAGATTTTTTCTCAGATTGAGACACGTAACTCCAAATCTATTTATTGTCTATTTGTTAAAATGTATTCTATATTGTATATCACAATTTATATTTTATTTTTGGGATGATTTAAGACCTTCAAGCTCCACCAATGTCATGCAAGAATAATTATTTTTCAATTTAAGTAAAATATTTGAAATTACACTATGGTTTATCCAAACAATCTTAAAACGGTATTAACTTTCAAGATGCTATTTTTCTTTTGTAGGAATTAAGAATGCAATAAAGGGTTGGATAGTTTTAAATTTTTAGGCATTTTGTTGGATGTTGTAACTTTGGAATTAATTCATTGAATATTCTTTACATATTTATAGGTGAATTTTTAGGCATTTTATTGAATGATTATATATTGTGAATGTTGATAATTTAACTAGATGTGGTAACTTTGGAATTGATTCAATGCATATTTTTTACATATTTATAGGTGATAATATGAATGCAATGATATTTTTTATCTACTACTTATAGGTAGTAATTGTTTTATCATTTTAGGTCATACAAATTAATTTTTTTTTTTTAATGTTTTTTTGGACCAACCCAAACTCAACCCGAAAATAGAGGGTTGGGTTGGGTTGGAAAATTTTTTGGGTTGGGTTGGGTTACCAATCCAACCAACCCGAACTTTTGGGTTTGGTCAAAAAAATCCTTCAACCCAACCCAACTCGGACCATGTGCACCCCTAACTGCTGAAGTTAGCTTACTACGTGTTGTATGATGTTGCGTGCCCTGTGGCCCCTGGGTGCACCATATGTTAAGTGTTATGATTATATGATATATGGATTATGTGACTGTTTATGCTATGGAAAGTTAAGGATAATGTTGACTGTTGACTGTTTATGCTGTGAAAAGAGTGTGGATCTGCTAGTATTATATGCAATGAAAATGTATTATCGAGTCATGTCATAAGATGTTTATGGAACTGGAATGTATCTTCATGTTATGTAATATGTCATGTAATGTAAGTTATGTGACGTGTCATGTAATGTAAGTTATGTGACGTGTCATGTAATGTAAGAAACGTATATGTAATGTTAGCAATGCTTATGTAATGCCATGTTAGGTATGTTAAGGGACCTCATGCATATATGTATGTCACTTGCATCGGGATACTTCTCCTTTATGTTACGAAAGAACGAAATACGATATTTATGTGCTACCTACATTTTTCAGGTAAAGGCAAGACGCCAATGTATGGTTGACGGTAGAGCTAAGGACACCATGGAAGTGGATGATGAACATTTTTAGTAGTTTATGTTTATTTTACTGATTTAAGTTAAAGCATTGAACATTGTTTTATTTAGATTTGTTTTGAATTTAGTTACGGAAGGCTTTATTTTCAGAGATATGTTTGTTTTGAATTTTTGGACCTTTATGAAAGACTTTGTTGTGTTTTCCAAAGTTATTTATGATGAGCTTCCGCTTAATGAGTTATGTATGCATGAGTGACGTCACTAATTAGGTTAAGAAAATTAGGGGCGTTACAACCATCATCTTCAGAACCACTAAATAGCAACTCTCCTCTTCAAGAATTTTCGGATGAGACACCTCCATGGAAGATAAATCTTTAGCTGACATATATGGATCATGTCAATTTTCTTCTACTATTTTAGACCCAATGAGTTATGAAGAAGCAACTGGAAAAAAAATGGCAGAAAATCATGGTAGAAGAGATGTAGTCAATTGAGAAAAATGGAACATGGGAGATGGTTGACTTACCAAACGAAAAAACTACAATCAACTTGAAATGGGTGTTCAAGACAAAATTTGCACTAGATGGAAGCATACAAAACCATAAGGCTCGTCTTATAGCAAAAGAGTATAGATTTTGAAGAAACTTTATCTCGAGTAGCTCGTTTTGAAACTATAAGAACTATTCTGGCATTAGCAGCAGAATTGCAATGGCCTATTTATCAGTTTGATCTCAAGTCAGCATTTTTTTAATGGAGATTTACAAGAGAGGTCTATGTAGCACAACCAGGGGATTCATAAAAAAAGACAAAGAAACAAAGTTATACGAGCTAAGAAAGGCATTGTACGAATTAAAATAGGCCCCTCGAGCTTGGTATAGCAAGATTATGGGTATTTTCAAGAAAAATGATACATGAGAAGTGAGAATGAGCATATTTTGTATGTGAAGAAGGAAGGTAAAAGTGATTTCATCATTATTTGTCTCTATGTTGATGATATCATTTATACTAGCTCTTCTAACTCTCATTTGGATAAATTTAAGTCTCAAATTGTAAGCAGATTTGAGATGTTGGATATGGGTCTATTTTTCTTGGTCTTGAAGTATATCAAATTGAAGATGAGATTTTTATTTCACAAAGAAAATATGTCAAATATATTATGAGTAAATTTAGTATGTTTAATTGTAAGCTTACAGCTACCCCGATGAATATTAATGAGAAATTACAACATGAGGATGGAGCAGAAATGACAGATGTTAGAAGATTCGGAAGCTTGATTGACGGACTAATTTACTTAACCCACACATGACTCGACATTACAATTCCTGTTGGTATTATTTCTAGGTTTATGCAATATCCTTTAAAGGTTCATTATGGAGCAACAAAAAGAGTCTTAAGTTACCCCAGAACTATGGAGTATGAAATTTGGTATTCTAAATCATCTAATTTCAAATTATATGAGTTCACTGATAGTGAATGGGCAGGATCATTAGACAATAGACAAAGCATTTCAGTCAATGTTTTTACTTTAGGATTAGGAGTGATCACTTGGAGTCAAAGAAGCAAGCAATAGTGGTATTGTCAATGTCAGCAAAATATGTTGCAGCAACTTCAGCAGCGTGTCAAGTCATTTGGCTAAGAAGAGTGTTAGCTGATCTTCAACAAGAATAAAAAGGGGTAACAATGATATTTTATGATAATAAAGCAACTATTTGATGAAGGTCTCATGAGGTAACCACCGTGAGGAAGAGGCAACTTGAGTATGAGAAAATGATGTGAGAAGAGCTTATCCTAAACTCTTCTAAGGGATACCAACTTTCGAGGACGAAAGTTTCTCAAGAGGGGAGAGTTTGTAAAAGAATTCCAAATAAGTCACAGGATAAAACTTAAGTGAACTTAATGTTCTATATAGTGAGCGTTACACAAAGCTCTTAAAGTACGAGTCTTGGATGATCAAAAATGTTTTCCTTGAACACTAAATGTTAGAATGTGGTCTAATGAACCATTTTAAACGATGAACATTTTGTCCAAGCCACCAATGAGGTCTGCAAAAGATTAAGGAAAGAATGCACATGAATCAGGGTAGAAAAAGAGTCACGACAATGTGAAGCATAGACACTTGAAGCTTGAGGTAGGCATCAAGGTATGATTGAAGGTTGCCTAAATTAGAGACAAACTAAGGTTTGGATGAAAGAACAAGTTAAGTCCACGCTTCAACGGGGCTTTCGAGATTCTAGATCGAATAAAAATGGTGACATACAAATGAAAGGTTGAGACATGTAATGAAAGCTCTATTGAACTGATCAATAACATTGGTGATCGATAAACACTTTCAAAGAAGAAATTCTTAAGATGGTATAATACCTCTATGTAGGTTGTTACAAACTTCAAGGGACAAGTCAAGTCAATCTCGAAAATAGGATAAAATGTCGGCTAAGGCCAACCAAATAAGTGGTCTTACTATCGATTTGGTTAAAAAGTTATGTTGTGTGATGAAACGTGCCCCGTAGATTCTGCATTTGTCATATGCTGGACATGTGTGAAATATTTATGAAATAATATGATTATGATATGTTAGGTAAATGTTATGATATATGTTATGCTATGATCGGTGAATGATATGATAATTATTATGATACGATGTGTTTGATGATATATTTGAGATATGATACAAGGAAGATAAGATATATGTTATGAAACTGTAACACCAAAGTCCCAACGAGGTATTAAATACCGGGTATTTAATATTGAACCCAAACTTCCAGGATTTTATTCAGAGCATTAAAGATAGAATTTCAAGAGAAAAATACTTAGAAAAGTTCCACAAACTCAAGAAAAATACAAAACAGAAATGTTTGAAAAATGTTGAAAAATTGGAAAAGTGATCGAAGTCAACACACGAGGAGTATTTTAGTTATTTTGCCCTCTTCCTTAGTTAGATACGTGAAACATGATATTAGAAAAATGTAAAGAAAAGAAAAAAAAAAGAGAATAGAGAGACAGGAAGGTTCTATAGAGAGAAAAGGAATAACCACCACAACTTTGATCTGACCACGAGGAGTTCGATTCCAGCCGAGCTTCCTTTACAAATCCTTCACATAACCTATAGGAGAAGAATTCCCAACGTGCGCCTCAAGCTTTGAAATCACCCTCGACCTCGATGGACCATTCCGATTGTGCCACGTACCAACACCTCAGCACGTGTCCTCTCCCTCAGGTGCATCCGTAATCCCCTAAGCGCGTGTCCTCTCCGGGCTAAAAGTGATATGTCGTGGCTCAAATCTGGCTAAAAGTGAGCTTCACACACGAGACAGTAATCCTCTAAGCTTATCATAGAAATGGGCCCTAGCAATTAACAGAGTGTGCATGCAACCGTCTTCTAACATCATAATAATAATTCATACAAACTAGGCATGCCTGCTCAACGAGGCGATAACCTCCATCAAGCACCCAGAACACGGAGTTCGCGCTCAATGGGGCGAATTTATCTATCAAACACCCGGAACGCGGAATAAACAATTCCAACATAAATTAAACGCATGCATATGTACGGCGGAAGCTTAAAGCATACAAGCAACACTCAGATAATTCACCCAATACAATCAATCTGTCTAATATTTTACACGGAGAGCTAATCTGCAGCAAAATTACTAGCATGCATGCAATCCAAGCAAATCCTACAAGTAATTCTTCTTAAATACCGGGTGGCGACTTACCTGGTTGACGCGTGCCTTTTTGCTAGCGTTCATTTGCTCGTGAGGTGTCCAAAAATGCTGATTTCTTTATATTAGGTCCCTATTCACATAAAAACAGTATTAGAACTGGAACCGGGACAAAAATCGAGCATACAGAGAGCAACTGGGACAAAAAGGTCGTTTCGCGCGCTCACGCGCCAGTAGTGCGCTGACCACGCGCATGGATGTGCGCCACTCACAGGCCGCACACGTGCCTACCATGCTCAGCAGCCCCTACGTAGTTGCGGCTCGGCCGATCCGGCTTTGCTTGGCTCGGCTTGCGTTTGCAGTTCAGCTCGGCTTTGCAGGCGACACGTGTCGTCGCCTCTCTGGAGATGCGTTGCTCCAGCCAACGGTCGACGTGTGTTTGGCGCCTGTCATGCCGCCCTTCGCCGCTCGCCGGCCGACCCATTTTTTTTTCCTTCTCTGTCCTCTAAAATCCATAACACAGTTCCCTTTTCCGATTTTCATATCTTTTGATCCGTAGATCGGATCGATATGATTTCTTCGGCAAAGTTCTAGATCGTGTTACGGGCTACGTCCTAGTATTTTTTTTGTAATTTTTTTTTTACTACCGGTCGAGTTAAGAGCGTTGGATGTTCGCTCACCGTTCTCAGATGATTCTCGGATCTCTGCCTTCGGGTTGCGATCTCGGCCAAACTTCTTCACAGATCGTGGGTAGAGTTGTTCCTATGTGATTATTTCAACATTTTAGGACTCGATTCACATAGGAAAAGCTCAGATCTGAGAAATATCGTTCAGAACCTTACCTCACAAAATGTTCTTAGGTCCTGACGAAGCGTTGGCCTCGCTAGCCTCTCAGTCCTTGTACAAGTCTCGTCTGACGGTGGATTCTGACAGTGGTCCGATAAACTTCGCGGCTGACTCCTCTCAAATTTCTCTCTAACTCACTTTTTCTTTTGCAGGGGATTTGACGGGATTCTCCTTGGACCCTTATTAGGGATGGAAGGGGAAAATGACATTTTTACCCATCAGTTGACTTAGCCCTTTTTTTTTTTTTTTTTTTTTTTTTTTTTTGCCTTACAAACTCTCCCCTCCTTAGGAACTTTCATCCCGGAAAGTAGTTATCTCTTGGAAGAGTTCGGGATAAGCTTTCCTCACATCCTCTTCTTGTTCCCAGGTTGCCTCTTCCTCACGGCAGTTACCCCATGAGACCTTTACCAAGGGAATATCTTTGTTGCGCAATCGCCTAGTGTCTCGAGCCAAAATTCTGCTAGGCTTCTCCTCGTAAGATAGATCTTCCCGAAGGGGAAGCATCTCATGCTCGATTACATGAGTAGGGTCTGGAGTGTACTTTCGCAACATGGATACATGGAACACATTGTGCACGGCGGCAAGGTTCAGTGGTAGGGCAATTCTGTAAGCCAATGCCCCAAGCCTTTCTAGAATCTCGAAGGGGCCTATGAACCTTGGGCTCAATTTCTCCTTCTTTCCGAACCTTAACACCCCCCTCATAGGGGCTACCTTTAGGAACACGTGGTCACCCACCTCAAATTCGAGGTCCCTTCTACGCACATCTGCATAGCTTTTCTGTCGGCTCTGTGAGGTGAGTATCCTCTACTTGATTTTCTGCACCGCTGCGTTGGTGACCTAGACCAACTCTGGTCCCAGTAGGTGCTGCGTGCCTACCTCTTCCCAAAAGACTGGTGTTCGACACCTACGCCCATATAGTGCCTCAAAGGGGGCCATCTGAATGGTCGCTTGATAACTATTATTGTAGGCAAACTTCATTAAAGGCAGATGTTCGTCCCAGCACCCAGAGAAATCTAAGGAATAGCCTCGCAACATATCCTCTAAAATCTGGTTCACCCTTTCAGGCTGTCCGTCCGTTTGAGGATGGAACGCTATACTGAACCTCAACTGAGTTCCTAGTGCTTTCTAGAGACTTTTCCAAAACTGAGAGGTGAACTTGGTGTCCCGGTCTTATACTATGGACACTGGTATCTCGTGCAGGCGTACTATCTCCTTGATATATAATTGAGCCCACCGATCCACTCGATATGTGGACTTTCTTGGAATGAAGTGGGCCGTTTTGGTCACTCTGTCCACAATAACCCAGATGACGTTGAAACCCCACTTTGTCTTTGGCAAACCCGAGACGAAATCCATACCGACTGCTTCCCATTTCCACTGAGGAACATTAAAGGTTGTAGCAAACCT